TAGAAGAATCCTAAGCCCAACAACAACATAGTATATATGTATACTATTATGAAATATAAGTGAAAGCCATTTACTTATGACAATTGGCGAAGATCAGATTTTAAAATTCTGTCAGAGATAAAGCAACATGCTTGAAATTCTTATGGTATAACTATAATGAGTCTGTGAAAGTTTAATTTGTTTAATGCTATGTGTATTAAGAAATTTGTGAGGATAATAGAATCAATAGTCGATGCTTCGTTTAAGAAACAGTTCTCAAAAACGGCAGGGTGGCATTGAAGTTGACTCGTATACTCATTAATCACTGTTTTATTAATGTGGTAAACATTCAGAGGGGTAAAGGTATGGTAAGAGTCAGTGATATTTCATGAGTAACCATTTCAACAATAACAAAAATACAAGATTAAAAATTATAACCATCAGTATTATAGCTCTTGGTTTGTTTACCACATTAACATATAACAGCCATTCCAAACAATAAACTTTGTTAAAGCCTTATAAACTGAACTGAAATGAAAGTTATATAAGACCTGTGAAAACAACACTAAGTGTTTTGGGTTTAAGGAAATCCAGTAAAATAGAATCATATGGGAAATATTATTATGGTTTAGAAACTTGCTAGTCATTACGGCTTGAAAACTCGGACTTTCAATAAATTCATCTCTACGGAGTTAAAATATATATACAGTTTATACAGTATCTATTACAAGTAACTACCTTGTACGTTGTATGAAATTTATGAGTAAATGTTTTGTATTCTGTAAATGTAGGTCACCAGTATGAAAAGATCAGTGTTCCAGAAGATGGCCTTTTGTGTGGTTTTGTTCCTTTGCTGGAAGCTCCAAGGGATACGTGGTATGCTGAACGTCCATTTGATAAGGTATGCCTTTTACGTTGGGTCGTGGAATAACATTACAAGTTTATTTATCGATAATATTAAGTACAGTAAAGTTTAACTCAAGCAAAAACATACACAAGTTACAGTGTTACTTTATCTCATTATCGAATGTAAGCCATACACAATAAAGTCTTAACTAATGTTAGGCCTAAGACACGTGGATTTATAGATTTCGATGTCTGCGATTAGAATTCTTTTGTGTTATTCTAGAAATCCTCAACTTAAAAAAGTACTGTTGTAATAAAGATACTAATTTGACCACAAATATTTTGTGAGGTCTCTGCCAGTTTTGTAATATAAATGAGTAGAACAGAATAATTTTATTCTACTTTAACAGAATGTCGGCACACATTATTTGGTTTCCATAAAATTGATTTACTAAGAAATACAGTACATAAGTTATTTGTCTAATCCACTTTTGAAATCAAACTGTAGTATCTTCTAGCTGACAAAACTAACTATAATATAGTTTTAACTATTGCTACAAAATCACGCAAAATCTAATCAGTTTGAAATAGATTTTCGTGATCAATTAGACATTTTTCTAAAAAAACTTTGCTAAACTGTTAATATGTTGTACAAACTGTCAACTAAAGAATATTTACATGTTTTTTTGTTTACATCCGTTGAAATGAAATGTACGCACATGCACATTTAGTTAGTAAGGTGGACATGCATTTTCACGACAAACAAAAACTAATTATTATTTTAGTATATTTAGGTGTTGGTCTCAGAAGTATTTGTTTTTACACTTCTGGATTTGCATAAATACATGAAACGGAAAATTGTAAGAAGACGCATATTCAAGAAAACTTCAAGTGTAGCTTGAAAAATTTTGTTTTTTATCACCTTTTGACATTCTCTTTAATAAACCATTTATTGTGTCTTTATTGCAAAAAAAAAGAAAGTCAACTGAAGGTGTACGTGAATCTTTGATCAAATATTTTTATTTGCCGAATCTAACAAGGTATCATTGTAATTATGATCATGAACCCTCACTCCAGGATCGAGCGATGCACTGCATGAGAATCAACTGTATCAAGTATTTTGGAGAGTACCTTTGCGGCATCTCTACGCCCTACCTGGAGTTTGATGTTGGAACTCGATATTTTAGTTCTCTCGTTACAGCTTCTTCTGAAGAAAACACGGAAACTGGTAACGACCAGACGTGCGAATCTGTAAGTACCAGCTTGAGTTGAATGTTGTGTAATTTTTGTTTATGTAAAGAAGGGACTTGAGTAAATATGGGTTAGAAATATGTCTTTGTAAGAACCATGTATAGCTTGTTATTGGGCAGTTGCTTAGTGTGTGCACTTACTTCTGAAAAGTTTTTGAGCAGATAATAAACAGTTGTAAGGCAAGAAAGAACAACTTTGAGTTTTCATAAAATTAAAACTTGCAGCTCTGAAGTTTTCATTTATAACTGGTTGATATGGAACTCAATAAACCATTTCAAAATAAAAGTACAGTCACTAACAAGCAATGATTCACATCAAGAAACCATTCTAACTGCTAAGTTTTAACAATTTTTTGTGTTCATTGTAATACTGGCTGGTGTCTCGTTACTTGCTCACATTTCTGTGGTGTATTGGCTTTTACATGATCAGATAGCCAGTGTGTTTCTGTGTTGTATTGAATTTTACATGATCAGATAGCCAGTGTGTTTCTGTGTTGTATTGACTTTTACATGATCAGATAGCCAGTGTGTTTCTGTGGTATGTTGGCTTTTACATGATCAGATAGCCAGTGTGTTTCTGTGTTGTATTGGCTTTTACATAATCAGATAACCAGTGTATTTCTGTGGTGTATTGGTTTTTACATAATCAGATAACCAGTGTATTTCTGTGGTGTATTGACTTTTACATAATTAGATAGCCAGTGTGTTTCTGTGGTGTACTGGCTTTTACATAATCAGATAACCAGTGTGTTTCTGTGTTGTATTGGCTTTTACATAATCAGATATTTCTGTGGTGTATTGACTTTTACATAATCAGATAGCCAGTGTGTTTCTGTGGTGTATTGGCTTTTACATAATCAGATAACCAGTGTATTTCTGTGGTGTATTGACTTTTACATAATTAGATAGCCAGTGTGTTTCTGTGGTGTACTGGCTTTTAC